GTAATTTTCCTTTTATATTTGTGTACTGTACATCAGCGTAATTAAGTGAATAATATAATTAACAATCTACACTTTTTAATAACTTTTCGCGAAACGCGTTATTTAATACCATTAGTAAAAGAACGAACTACGTTTCAAATAACGTATAAATACACTGGTGTGCAAAAATTAAGGACGAGACGGTTTTTTTCAATATAACTTTGTACAAAAGCTTTCCAAATCAACACATTTAATACCGTAAGATCCCCAATACGTAAGGACATGAGTAATGTAAGCAACACTTACTAAAAGAGAAATCAGGGGGATAAAAGAAGCTTTATTGAGAAAGTAGCATGGAGCGCAATGAGACTGAAGGCCGAAACATCCCTGTGATGGGTGTCCAGCAAGAAACATCCGGTCTTTAATAGGGGATATGATCTCCCCTGACTGCTAGGCAGGTTTCACAGCGTCTGCCCGAGCTGAGAATGAGGGTATCAATGAGTTGTTGAGGCATTGCTGCCCATTCGTCTTGCAGCGCCAATCGAAGCTCCGGAATCGTTACTGGTGGTAAGGTACGAGCTGCCAAGCTCTGCCTAGAAAATCCCATACATGCTCGATGGGATTGAGATCCGGAGATCGTGCCGGCCAATCCATACGTTCAATATCCTCACTCTCTAAGAGCTGTTCGGCAGCTACTGTGCGATGACATGGTGCATTGTCGTCCATGAAAAGGAACTGCCGGCCCATAGCGCCTCTAAAAAGACGCACATATGGAAGAAGAATCTCGTTACAATAACGGGTCCTGTTGACTGAACCTGCGTCGAAGATGTGAAGGTCTGTGCGACTACCAAGCATGATGCCTTCCCAAACGAGAACACCGAAACCTCCATACCTGTCCCTTTCAATGATGTTCGAAGGATGATTGCGGCTTCCCCGCTCTCTCCAGATGAGTATGCGATGAGAATCGCTACTCAGACTAAATCTGCTCTCATCTGTAAAGAGTACTCGTCCCCATTCATTCTCTCTCCAATTCCGGTGTTCCCGGCACCACAGAGAACGCCTTCTCCGATGGGCAGGCGTTAGAGGTACACACCGTACAGGGTGTTGTGCAAACAGACCACCACCGTGCAGTCTTCTGGCCACGGTAAAACGCGATATCTGTCGTCCAGTCGCCTGTGTCGTGTGTCTAGGGATTTCTCCCGCTGTCTGCCGCCTGTTTCTTCTGGCCTGTAAGGCAATATACGGGTCATCTGCGGGTGTGGTTCCTCTTGGACGACCACTACTAAACCCCCGGATAGCTGTTCCTGTAGTTTGAAATTGTCTCCAAAGTCGTGAAACGATGCTGTGAGCAATTCCGAACTCTGCAGCCACACTTGTCACACTGCGGCCTTCCTCCAACTTCCCAATGATTCGACCTCGGGTAAAACCATCCAGATGTCGTCTAACAGATTGATTATTCGCCATTTGTCGCTGAGGCAGCAAATCTGTGTGATTTTAACTGCTATACGGCGTGCAATCTCTTTGCCAGAAATACTGATCTTTGGAACTTTGGAACTTTGCGGTTATACTGGCTTTCAGCAGGAAATTAAAGTCCTGCTCTTGCCAGTTCCTGAGTAGAAACCTGAAAGAAATTTTCTCTCGTGGAGGTAGAAGTGTGCTGGAGAGAGAGAAAGAGAAAAGAAGCACTTTTCTCCTGTACTGCTACATCTTGGATGGAATCCGCCAAGCAGGGGCCGGAGAAAGAAACTTCGGATGACCTGGGCAGGATAGCCCGAATACTAACTGTACATTTGTCGGAGCCAGTCACGTGGGAGATCACCCTCCCAGAAACTGACCCCGATCGATGCTGCTTGAAAACCAGAAAACTGGAACTTAGAATTCTGAACTCAAGAGGTGATCGGCAAATGGGCGGAGGTTTTTGTCTTGAGCCAGGATTTCGTAGATAAGAATGTCCGTGAAATTAGCGGGATTCACACTGATAATATTATTAAAAAAGTTGTTTATTCTGCTGAGGTAGTCCTGAATAGTATCTATTTCCAAGTCGGAGTGGAGGGTCCTATTCCGAACATAGTAAGGAGCTTTTGTGATGATTCTTAGCACCTTATTTTGAAGCACTTGGAGTTTGCTAATTTCGTTTGCTTTGTAGTTTTCCCAGGCTGGGGTAGCATACGTGAGAATGGGTCGGATTACAGTTTCATAAATCCTCTTTTTCAGTCTGAGGGTGAGGTTTTCATTCTTTAGGAGAGGGAAAAGCCTGAAAATGATCCCGTGTGCTTTTCCGCTTACTCTAAGCATATGATTCTTCCAATTGTAGTTCTTGTTAAGGGTAACTCCCAGGTAATTAGCTTTATCAACTGTAGGGAGGATTTTTCCAAAACGTTTAACCTCAGTTCTGACCCGTTTCTTCTGTCTGCGATTTCGAATGAGTAGAATCTTGGACTTTTCTGGCTGAATGCACGTTTTCCAGCGACTGCACCACCCATCAATAGCAGGGATTTTGGCCTGAATTCTTGACAAGGCGTACTCTGGGTTTAGAGACTTGGTGGCTATCGCTGTATCATCAGCGTAGCTGGCTGCGAGAACATTTGTATCCTCGGAAAAGCATGGGAAATCGTTGGTATAGATGATGTAAAAAAGCGGGCCTAAAATTGACCCTTGAGGAATACCTGCGTAAATATTTTTGACACATGAAGTTGCATTTCCAACTCCAACGGTGCAAGTTCTATTTTCAAGGAAGGACTTGATAATGAGTATCAGAATTTCTGGGGGAAACCGAGAGAATTAGCTTATAGATTAGCCCTGGATGCCAGACACGGTCAAAAGCCTTTGCCACGTCTAGCATTAGGATAGCAACACTCATTCTGTTGTGCATAGCCGCGCCGATGAACTCCGTGAGCCTGAGTAACTGCGTTGTGGTCGAAAGTCCTTTCCGGAAACCGTGCTGGTGATCAACGAGAAAGTCCAAGTTTTCTTGTATTCTGAGATAAATAATACGTTCCAGGATCTTGCTTAAAATACTGATCTTACACCGACAACATGCTTTATACTACTTAGACACTCCCCCATTACGTCTACCTGCATATCTGCGCATGTGCTACCGTACATCACCTTACTTAATCTCCTGATTGGTCTTTCTGCCTCTTCGTTCAGCTGATATGTTAGTTTTTCGACTTCGTCCTTAATTTTTGCACACCAGTGTATGCTGAGTGTGAAGTTTGTAACTCTGCATCTTGTGTTCACTATTGTCTGCGTAAGAAACAGAATCTAGTGGTAATAATAAAGTATTAGTAACTTATTTTATTGTAATATATTGACTGAAATAGTCAAATAAAATTTAGTTCAGATAACGCGTTTTTTAATATTTTGATACTTTTTATGTTTATAAAAAATTTACTTAAAAAATGCAGAAACAAAGGGCAGAGTTTTTAAAATTGAAAATCTTTCCGTCTAAGATTTAATTTTACTTAACAACAAAGAAAACATTTATTTAGTTACGCAGATTTTTGTTGCATTTTAAAATATTTTATGTTTAAATTTTGCAGTATTTATTAATGGTAAAAATCCCTTAAGTTTAAAATTGTAATGTGAAGCTTCCAGACTTAACTATCAAATTAATAGCTTACCGTGATTATCAGGAAGTCTGAGGGTAAAAGCAGCTGGAAATACTTATAGAAAACTGATCAAGGCCTTGAAAGTTACTTAAACTCAGTAGTTTATTGAGCTTCAACAGTCTTCGTACTTTTTTATATATGGTAAGAATGGAAAGAAATTTCACATCTTTGGGTCTACTTCCTGTGGGATCCTATTTAAGTAATCTGAAAATCTGATCTCCAGTAATCTGAAAAAGTATTAAATTTGGTCACGTGTCACAAAATGACCCTAAATAATATCAGTAACATTTCTTAACTATTAAATAATTTGGTTTATACCCCTAGTTCTGTTAGATACTTTTAAGTTGAAAAAGGCAAAATAAGCAAGTTTACTACCCTGAATTGACACACGCGCTCTAAGAAGCAATTATTAGAAAACCATTAAACATTTCGTATTTAAAAATTCCTATACTTTATTTTTTTATTTAAAACACAAACAACAATTCCCCATATTCCACAGTGTAACACAAAAGCTTACAGCAAGTATGAAACAGAATGCAGAAAAACGGCAACTTTACTAGAAATGATTTCCATTTCATTAAAAACTTCCTTTGACCCAGAAATTCGAGAGTTAGCTGTTAAAGAAAAACCATTAATCCAAAGGTAATTTCAAAAAAATAAAAAAATGAAAAAGAGGGAGAATAAAAGATATTATAATTAATAAAAGTACTGTTATATTTTAATTTGGAGAATAAGTTCACTTAGTTATGTAAATTAAATCAGTGCTCAAAGTAGAAAGAACACACTCAATATAAATAAAAGAATAAATATATTAGAAATCAACAGACTAAGTTAAGAAATGACGTTAAGTTAGAAAATGAATATTTATAACAGAACTTTCGATGATATCACAGTGCAAGGCATCATCTCCAGACTGTCATCTTAGCCATCTAAGTAATTGAGAATGCAACAAAAGAGTAAAATTCTTGAATGATATGACTGCTCGAAAAAAAAAAAAAACTTAACAAAGAAGCAATCAAAGCCAAAACTAATGGGAGAAGACTTTTTATAAAAGTGTGAAGCAACAGCTATGGAAAAGGCAGTGGTAAAGCAGCTGCTGTCAATTAAGCACCATCGAAAAGATATACTTGTTACTATTTTTCGTTTACATTACTCTTGTATTTCAGGAGTCTGTATGAAATACAAGATTAATGGCTATGTACTTGATTTATTTATACGATCGAAAAATGTAAATGAATAATGTAACAATGTTTGTATATTCGAGATTACGAACATTTAACTCCCAAATCTTATAATATCTGTTATTCCACGAATTGCCCTTTTCCTTTTTACATTTTTCGTAAGCAGTTTTGTTTTGCAATGTCAACATTTCCATCGTTCCGCAATAAAGCAACTTAACGTCTTTTTCAGGTGCGGCACGGTTTCCGGCCCTGTTAATAGTAAGTTTACTGTATTACCCATTAATTTTGAAATCTATGTACTACTGTTGGATCTATATTAGTCCTTCGTTTATTTCTCAAACGTTTTTCAGATGAGGGCCACTTTGTAAATTAGAGTGATCAGCATACCACCTTACTCTTCTCTTCCTCGGAAGTAACTCTTTTAGCATGTGCTACATATGCTTTTAATAAAATTTATTTAATTTTCTGTTAGTATTAAGTAATTAAGTGAATAGATGGAAATTTATATTCGTTTTTAACAATTGAAGGCTATTATAGTGTGAATAATCTCCATCCCATTAGTCAAAAATTAAATACATGTTAATATTTGACATTAAGGAATTGGATGAGACTGCTAACTATTACGCAGTTATTCTATGTTAGTATGTATGCGGCTGAGATTAAGTCTCACATCGGCGCATACATTAAGTCTATTTCAGTACATTGTTTCTATATGACTCAGTTTTTATTTATAAAATGCTAGTTTCGGATGAAAAAGATAAAGCGATTGCTATATGTAATTTCCAAATTTTAAGATTTAGCTACAGTGTGGTTGTATGCACGTAATATGAATTTTATTTTCTGTATTGTTTGGAAATCTAGGAGAAACGGAAGGGCAGGCTTCAAAGACTACAGCCTAAGAAAGGCTGCTGTAAAATATTCACAATGTAATAAGATTTCCTTTCTCTGCCTTTACATTTCGTGCGATGGTTGAGTTAATATAATATTTATAGTTTCAGAATTTCCTTAAAATGTAGAAAACACGTTGAAAACTCTATCACTGAATATATTTTTGTGGTATACAAAATACTCATTTTGGAAAAACAGTACGCAATTTTCCGAGGGAAAATATTCAACTTGCAAGAAATTTAACTTGCTTTATGTAAAAAATATCTAATTATCTGTTATTTAAACATAACGATCTGAAGCATAACATCGTATTTGAAATGCTGCTACATAAGTATCACTCTATTTATAGTCCAGGAACTCAATCACATCCACTGAGTTGCTAAAAATTCCGAGTCATCAATTCTCCCTCGACCTTTCGCGTATGACATCACATTATTATCACATGTGAGTGACCAATAAATCGTAAATCACGAACTATCATTTATTCACTGGCATTTTACGGTGGAGGGCTTATGGAACAATGATACACATTGAAAGAGGTATAACGGGTAATAATTTTAAACTCATTTGTTTATCATATGATGTAGGTTTACAGCGTTGATTTAGAAATTAACTTAAAATTTGGTAAAATCAAAATACACTATCAAAAAAGTTAATTTACATCCGGACATTAGCTATTTATTGATAAAATTTTATATTTCAAATCAATATTAAGTTAACTGTTTAAGAAATAAATTAGTTCGACAGCATATTTTTAAATTACCGCACAGACGGAGAAGTAGTTAGTGATTCTGCCTGACGTACCGAACGGCCGGTTTCGAATCTCGGAGCAGGGATGGATGTAATTTGTCTATCCCTGCATAGGAGGCAATGTTATCCTATCTATTAGGTGCCTCCATAGCAAAGAGACCGCAGCTTCCGGTGTTAGTAGTGGCTAACATCTATAAACGGCCACTGGAAATTTTTTTTTAAAATTTAGATATATTAACTTGGTTAATGCATACTTGTGTATTTTCAGTGGCAGAGTGCATTAGATAACAATTAGAATAGTAACAATTTGCGTTTTCTCAGTAAAACTTTATACTTTTGTTTGCCAACACACATACCAATCAAGCACTGACTCCTTTTTTCCTTCTGTCTACTACATTCATAGTCAAACACTTCATTCGAATCAAAATCGTAAAAACAACCTTGTATTTAGCGTAAGTATAATGAAACACTCAATCGATTTCTAGGGCAGCTAAAGGTCCCTCCTCATTAGGAGAAAGAAATACCTAGAAAGAAGAAAATAAAGGAGAAGGAGTCTCAATAACACGTGGTCCTTATCAGCAAATATTATAGTGTTTCATTATACTTACGCTAAATACAAGGTTGTTTTTACGATTTTGATTGTCACATTAGCGTGTTTCTCTTTTAGTCTACTTCATTCGAAGTCTACACAACATTCTACACTACACAAACACTGCATTCATAGTCATGCACTTCATTCGAAAAGTAGTCCGCTTAGTCGTTTTAAAAGAGAGAAACAACTCTTTCTAACATTAATAAACAATTATTCTTTAATTGGTTTTAGAGATATGTTAGTAATTTCGGGAATTTAAGCTTGTGGTGTAAAATATTAATATGTTCGAATCAGTTTATTCCCCCTCCTTTTTTTTGAAATATTTGTCTTTCAAAATAAATATTACGTGCTTATTCTACTTCTCGTAGTTCATATATAGCGGTTCTTCAGATGACGCAGTATATGTTTGTTTCATCTTGACGTAAACATGGCTGAGGGAAATGATCCATTACTTACATTTACTCGTATTTGATGTTTATCATACGTGGTATAGGCTAATATTGTAATAAAAAAGTCCAGCCTCCCTTTTATGAGAGATCTCCGTTTCAGCCCTCGTCAATTGATTTTTGGAAGCTGTGTGATAGTAGTTGAAGACTTCGTGACAGTTTCAAAATACCCGAATATACTTTCCTTTCCTATTATCTTAGTTTCATATATGTAGAAATTGTGAAGCCATTTCTGAAAATACAATAACAAGATAAGCTAAAGCGCTGAAAAATGTTCCGTTTAGTAAGCTATGAAAGCTTTAAGTTAGCATTTACTTTTTTTTCAACCCTTTTTTCTGGAAAAAGTTTTTGGCTTCGCATTTACTGAATCTCCGAAACTACTCTTCCGATTAATTTCAAATTTTGAGAAACCATTCTGTATAAAATTATTAATGTAACAGCATTTTAAATATTAGTTATTTGAATTTCATAAATATGCAGTTCAGGTTTTTTAATAAAAAGAATAATTTCAATTTCTAAAAAGTCAGTGATTTAATACTTACAAACATCCAAAAACTGAAAGTTACTTCGAAAGTTTATATTTTATTCAGGTTGTCGCAATGAACTGGTGTTCAGTTCTTTGCTGGTCATTTGTATGAACTGACAAGATTCTGCTAGATATCGTTACATATAATATTGTGTAACTCTGCTCATTTTAATGTTTAATAAACTGAAAGAGAGGTAATTCTTATTATCCTGGATTTTCTTTCCCTACGTTTAAATGGATTGGTTTCATGAGGTTTTCTCCCATGTTCGCAAGTAGGCTGCAATTTATCTGACAAGTGTATTCTAATAGTGAATAATACAAAGTACTACTTAGAGCTACATTAAATCGTAGCTTCACCTGGCACACAGGTATTAAGTTAAAGAGTACTGTGTCGTCCTCAAATTTAAACCACTTTTGTGCCAAGATACTTAATTGGAACTAAAGTGAAAACAATATATTTTTACTGCAATTACAAGCCTTTTCATCACATACGCATCCTCGGCCTGGGTGAATGCTTTTACAAGTAACACTAGAATTCTGCAGACACTGCAGAAGCTTCTTTGGCTCATTACTGGGGTTCCTTACTTAATACGAAATTCATCTCGGCATAAAGATTTTAAGATGTCACCGATTCAGGATTTTTCTCAATAATGCAAATCAGACCTTTTAAAAGCCGCCCAGACGGTATAGTGGTTACTGACTGCCATACCGAAGGACCCGAGTTCGAATCCATGAGAACGCATGGATGTTTGTAAATGCAGGCAACAGCACCCAAAATATATGGCGAGCCGAACGTCCTCTCGAATAGGTTGGTGATAGGTGAAAGACCTTCGGCTTCGGAATTGTCCTCCGTGGTGCTGCGTTTGTACTGCGGACACTTGCCACCTTACCGGGTCCTCTTCCACTCAAAAAAAAAAAAAAAAAAAAAAAAAAAAAAAAAAAAAAAAAAATTCTCCCGCTTTCCATTAATAGTGTTTAAAGCTAACAAAGAATTGCAAGAATTGCATATTTCTTTTCAGGAAGATTGTTTTCTTTCTCAGGAGGTTTCTGCAATTCATTGCGCTGTTTCAGTTAATGCAAAGTTTTATTATGACATAACTAAGGGATTTGAAACATATTTTTGAGTACAAATGTTGGGAATAACATTATTTAATAACTTGATAACATATGAAACGCATTCATGCTACCGTTTACGCATTAAAATAAAAGGAAAAATATTTTTTACCAACTTAGAAATGCATTCTGATATACAGGAATAGACAACAAGTGTTTGAGTGGTGTTGATAATAACGAAAGAGTTAATTCGCCTGGAATCAGTTTCCCGGTAGCTGCAAAATTGTTTGTGTGAAGGTTGCAGTTTTCTTCGTGCTTATATTACGAGTTAGTTTCACATAAAGTGTTTCTGTGAAGGCAGATTTAGCTTTACATGAATAGCCTCAGTGTTCTTAGCCACAATTAATCAGATAGCTAGCTCAGTGCTGGGTCAGTTTATGCATAACAAGAATTTTGAGAAGAAATCTGTGTTTTTTGGAGGTGGTCTAATTTGTTGGGTTTCGAGTTTTATAATGAATAGACATAGTTTGGTTTTTTAGGAAGATTATTAAAATTTTCTCTTTTAATTGTGTCCCATCTTCTACATTGGATTTTTCCCATGTGTAACCTAAATAGGAGCCAGTTTTTCTCAGAAAGTCCAGCTCAAAAACATGAATATCTTTAGGCGGATAAACCTTTTGTGCTTTCACATAATTTTAAAACAAACTAAACTAGAAAAACATTTTATATTTTTTAGGAGGGAAATGCAGAATACCAGATGAGGAAATTTTTCTCAGTGATGTAATCTGAATTCTCTCAAGTTAAACGCTACATGATATTAAAAATAAATGATTTTCGGAGATCAAGGGAACCAATGGATGTAAATACTGGGATTAAAAAATGATTACTGAAAATTGGGCGGAAAAATTAAGTCTGAATAACTTAAAACAGACTTTCGCGCTGAAGCGGCACGATTAATTAATTTTTTTAAAGGAAAGTTTTAATGCATTTTATTCTTTGTATT